CATTAAGTTTTTTCATCAAGAATCTGTTTGCTAGAATCTCTCTTCTCATGCTCAGAGGAGGTTCTCCTGCTTCTGTTAATAACGCATTTGTCGGTGTTGATCTAAATGCCCCCATGCATGTTCTTATTGCGGAATATTGAATTTTATCAAGTTTGTTTTGTTCAGTTTTTGACGTTGTTCCATATATAAAGCATCCGTGATCTATTTGAGTTCTAATCAAATTTCTGTATAGTAAAAGGCATGTCTCTGGGTGTGCTCCCCATCTAGTATTTGTTATTTTACGAAGTATATTGATGCCTGTTTCGCATTTTCTTGATAATTCTTGTATATGCTTTTTAAATGTCATTTTGGCGTCAAAGATTATGCCTAGTATTTTCACGTTGTCTTTTATTATAACATCTTGAGTTCCAACCCTTATGTGACCTATGTTCTGGGGGAGTGTGTGTCTAGTGTAAATCGTTGCTGAGCTTTTGGTTGGTGATATATTTAAATTATTGCTTGATAACCATTTTATGTTTTCTTTAATAGCATAGTTCATTTGCGTTATACATGATTCTATTGACGGTCTTGATATGTATAAACAAATGTCGTCGGCATATTGTAATATTTTAACACTTGTATCAGGTATCTTATGGTAATCCGCAGTATATATGTTGAATAATGTAGGGCTTAAAATGGAACCTTGTATGATCCCGTTGTATGCTGATCTAGGGCCGATCATATCTCCATTAGTTCGTAGATAAATATATCTTGGTGATATCAACTCCAATATTATTTTAATTATATTCTCTGGGATATTTATATTCCGTAGTTTTTTTCTGTAGAATATTATGGTCTACGTTTTCATAGGCTTTGTCAATATCTATTGACAGTAGCAACATATATTCATTGTTTGAAGTCGATATATTTATGTCGGTGGTAAGGGTACTCAATAAATGTATTGTTCCTCTTCCGCTTCTAAAACCAAATACGGTATCATGGAGTATGTTCTTGTTTTCAATGTACCATTTCAGTCTTTCTTTTATCATTCGTTCGAAAATCTTTGCTACACATGATATTAGGGATATTGGTCTATAAGAGTCTATAGATTTTGGGTTTCTATTAGGTTTAATTATTGGTACTACAATTATTTCTTTCCATTTTTCAGGAATTCAGTGGTGTGTGATCATATTATTGAATACATTTAAAAGTTCCATTTCAAAATTAGTTGGACTATTATTGATCATATTATATGAAATGTTATCCTTACCTGGAGCCGTGTTCTTTCTGTTTTTTAGAGCTCTTCTCAATTCATTATATTTGAAAGGTGACATTAATTCTGTTTCTTCATTATTATTCTTACTAAATATATCTTGTTTGTTACAGACATAATCTGGTCCACATTCTTCCGTAAAATTTGGATTTATGTTCCTGTTTGTGTTTTTGTTGTTGAATATTTTGATTTTCCTCCAAATTGTAGCCGGATTTTGTTAATTGAACTTGTGTATTCCGCCCATTTTTGTATTTTCTTGTTCTTTAAAAATCTCTTGGTTTGTGCATTTATTTTTTGGTATAGGATAAAATTATCATAATTATATTTTCTGCGCATTTGTGTAAATGCGTTTTTTCTTGCGTTTACCATAATATCACATTCTTGATCCCACCATGCTGCTGGTTTGAAGGTTGAGCTAATTATCACTTGGCATTTCTTTATGTTTTTCTCTGCAGCGTGATCTATACAATTCATATTTTTGTTTTCCTGTATTAGGTATGTTGGAGTTTTGGAGAGTTTTTGAAATTTCTTCGCCATATCCTTTCCAATTGGCCTGATTCGTATTCCATTTTTTTGTTGGGAAGATTTTGATGTTTGAAATTGCATTTGTGTAAATATGTATTATAATTGGTAAGTGGTTAGCTCCAAGAGATTCTTCGAGTATTTCCCATCTGATATAATCTGTGAGATTGCTGGAGCATAAAGATAAATCTATATTCGTCGCTTTTTTGTTTCTTGTCTCGATTGTTGTGGGTTTGCCGTTGTTGATAATTATTAATGAATGATCTTCTATGATTTTTTGTAATTTTATTCCTGATGTGTTGTTTGCCATACTTCCCCATGCAAAGTGATGGCTGTTGAAATCTCCAACGATCAATGTTTTTAAATGGATCCCTTCTATAGTTTTCCTCACATCAGTAAAATCTATTTCTTCTCTATTTGAGCAATAAATGGAAACTAAGCAAAAGTTTATATTTGTTTTAATTGTTACCGCACATATTTGTATATTCTTATTGTTGTTTATTGTTTCATATTCATCACAATCTATGTTGTTTTTGACGATGATGGCTGCTCCGCCGTATCCATCTTCTCTATCTTTCCAAAAAATCTTATACCCCTTGATTTTGTATACTGCATTAGGATTGAACCATGTTTCGGAAAGGGCCGCTATCGAAATCTGATTATTGTATAAGAAATGTTCTATACTTTCTTTATTTGCTTTCAATGATCTGCAGTTTAATTGTAGTATTTTTAAATTCATTTTGGCTTATTTATATTGTGTATATTGTTTCTATTAATTTAACTTCCTGTAGTTCTCTTATCTTTTTCCAATTTACTCATCACAATACTCAGTAATCTATTTATGGAAGAATCGTCAGATCTATTTATTAATATAATTTGTGTAACTAACTGCTTAAGAATTTCGAGTGGATCATTTTCTTCTTTTCTTGATTCATTTCCTTCTTGATCCGTATTATCTTCCGACGTTTTAATCGGCCTTTTTCTACTAATTATTTCTCTATTACTTACCCTTTTAATATCCGTCTCATTATTTATATTATTATACTTAGATACTTTAGACGTACCTTGACCTCCTACCCTTGTTACATTTTTGACATGTGACCTTTTTGGTTTTCTAATCCATACTATGTCTTCTTCTTCTGTATCCTTTTCTTCTTCTATTAATTTTGATAATTCGTTATATTTATTTTTATCACAGTAACTTTTTTCTAGTCCGTATTCATCCCTCCTTTTTTCTTTTATCGTCGGAAAATCTTTTTCCTTATCTATAGTGTAAGGGTTAAATTTAACAACTCTTGAATATTTGTCATTTCGCAAAATATGTCTCGCCTCATGAAAAGCTATATTATGAGTCCCCATCAATTCATAAATATTTTTATGCCTTTTGAATTCCGGGCATTCAGTACTATTTGCAACGTGTTCCCCGGAGCATAAACAGCATCTTAAGTTTAAAATTTCAGTACAGGCTTCTAATCCATGTTGTTCTGAACATTTCGGACATCTTTTTTTACTTTTACATTGTTCTTTTATATGACCAAAGAACCAACAATTATGACACTGCACAACTTTTTTAATGTATGGACTAACCCTACATTTTACTGAATATATTGAAATTTTCTCCGGCAATTTGGAGCCCCTGAATGTTAATTTCACACATTGCAATTTATAATTGATGTTATTACCTCTTTTTGACTTTAAACATTTTACTTCCACCACTGGATAATCAGATTCTATAACTTCCATTATTTCGTCTTCCGATAAATTAATATCAACGTCAAATATTATCCCCTGTCTTACTACTAGATATTTAGGAATGTAGGTCCTGAGATTATTCATCTTGAAAAATTCATCTTCCAGTAAACTATTGGCTATTTCTGCATTTTAATTACTAATTTTATTTTGTTTTTTTCCAATTTGTACAATTTCTGTTAATTCTGTCTTCAATTTTGGAACTGATTTATATAACATCCTTCCAATTGCCATGTGATGTAACCTTCCAATATTTTTATTTATTGATTCCACATATATATGATATGGTCCTTTATCGTCTTCTTCAAATCGTATTTTATTGTTTCGAGCATAGTTACTAGACTTTACTTCATTCATCTCAACCATTTCTTCACTAACCATGTTATTGTTAATAGAATTTGATTCATTCTGATTAACATTTTCTTCATTATTCGCATTAAGTACACTATCAGCTTCTTCCATTACTTTATCATTACTACTGCGTTGAATAGCCTTTACATTTTTATTTATTGTATCATTACTTTTCTGAACTTCAACTTTTGAATTAACTTCACTTTCTAATCTTTTGACTTTGTTATTTTTTGCACCAGTCACCTTTTTAATGAATTTCATGGTCCTGTTAATTTTATTTTCTTTATTACTATTTACATAATTAGAATTTCTTAGCTTTGTTTCTTTTTTATTAACTTTTGTGGGATTAGTTTTATTAATTCCATTATTGTTTTTATTAGATTTACTATCTAAATTGTGAATACTTTCACAACTACTTAAATCTATTTCTTGATCATCTATACTATAATCCATACTACTTTCATTGTTAAAATCTTCAAGGTCATTTAGCACGTGCATTGCACCTGCAATGGTTGCGCCTAAATCTGAATGTTGTGTAATGCCTTTATCAGGCGGTCGTCCGCCCTCTGGCCCGTACGGGCCCGACTCCATTGTTTGTTTATCAGCTCACTATCAAAACACAACAGGTACAAGGTTTACTTTCACTAAACTTCAAAAAATATATATTTATTTCGAACGATGTGTACGCTACGAATGCTCACGCAAGACTGCTAATATACTTTAAACAAATAATTTCAACGTTGCAATTCAGTTTATATAATTCTTATAAATATTAGACAATGTTACAATATTTATAATAATCTATTTGAAAACATTCAGTATTCCTCGAACATTTTGTTACGGTACGGGAAGTTCCAGCAATTTGCCTTAAGGCACGATGCCACCCACCCCACTAGTTTTATTTTATTAATGGTATTTTCAATAGCAATATAGTTATGTCTAATGTAGTTTGATATATTATATATTATCAATAGGGAATTAATAAAAGATATGAATTTAATTGTCACTTAGTCACATATTTATTGCTATTGTAATTAATTATATATACACATTTATTACATAACTCAATTTTAATGATTATTATCAGTATTGTTAGTCATAGTATTGCATGGAATTTTGAGATCTGTTAATAGTGATGGCCGTGGTGTACGGGAACAGCATGGACAGTTGGTGCACTCTTGGACACCACTGCGTTGAATCCATTGACACCATCGGCGGCGTATTTCACAGTGCGCACGGAACCATCGGGCTCAACCAGTGAATATTGTCCTATAAAAAAATTATACGACTTTAATTGTTATATTCACAGAAATAATTACGTTGTTATAATTATAAATTAGATTATTTACCTTTAACTACATCACCATCGCGTACTTCATGTTGAGATTTAATATCACCAGTGTGATGGTCAGCTACACCATAGTTATAAGAGTATTTGGGGTGAGCCTAGAGTAAAAAAAAATATTGTATTTATTAATCGCATTAATTGAATTACAAATTACAAATTTTTATAATCAAAATGGCTTTCAAGAAATAATTAACGTCAATAATTAATTTTAGCTTACAACTTCTATAAATTCAATCGAGGGATTCGGTATGCAACTTTTTAATTTATTAGTCTTCCAAATATGTCAACTAAGCAATCATAAATTCCACAGGTTTTTATTAAAATACTAGAAGCCATTAGCTTCTATAACAACTCTGAATATATAAATTGTGTCTTCAAGAAGTACAGGGGTATCCTCACGTCTATAATCTAGAATTTTTCAATAATATTAATATACCTATCTATTATAGCCACGTTTCTTAATCATAAAATATTTTTTTATGGAATATTTGATACTGCTTCATTTTTCAGAAAAGGCGTTAAATTTCTCAAGAAATTATGCTAACAAGATTTCATTACATCAGCAATTATCAAGCATTCTTTATTTTATTTATCTTTTGCTTCTGTTTGTTATTTTTTAAAAAATGTGAACTTAATTTAATATATCAATTTGATCGATTTCAATTTAAAATATCGTAATATCCTCTAAATCTAATAAATCTAATATAAGAGATAGAGACTCATTAGTTATTATTTGTTCTTATTAATTAATTGTCTTATTAAGTACACTAGCTTCCTTTCTTTTAAAAAAAATTGATCTATACGATTTGATCTAAAACTTTTGTTCAATTTTTAAAATATTATCAGAAAAGTTTTGAAATGATTAGCTGATCTTTACAATTACTTAAGAAATAAGGCTTATTAAAAAAAATATTAAAATTAGTTACTACTTTCTTATATTTTTTATTATTCTAGTTTTGTTTAGGGTTGAACGGGGCTTAAAGGTACGCGGGTAAAAAATCTCAAGAACAAGCAAAGTTAAAAAAGATTCAGAGTTGTTATAGAAGCTAATGGCTTCTAGTATTTTAATAAAAACCTGTGGAATTTATGATTGCTTAGTTGACATATTTGGAAGGCTAATAAATTAAAAAGTTGCATACCGAATCCATCGATTGAATTTATAGAAGTTGTAAGCTAAAATTAATTATTGACGTTAATTATTTCTTGAAAGCCATTTTGATTATAAAAATTTGTAATTTGTAATTCAATTAATGCGATTAATAAAAAAGATTAACAAAAATATTTGAACGTAGAGCAAAGAAGATGTATAACCAGAAATCACCTTGAGCCTTACGACTCAGAAGATAAAAGGCAATGTTTGAAAATTCACAACCAAAGTATTTTTTTTCGCTTTTTGGTTATAAGCACTTTGGGTTAGATTACGAGACCTTAATAGAATTTTTAAGTACTTGTTATTTGATTGTTTTATAATATGTATTATTAATTTTAAGTTTGATTTAGCAGTTTTTTTTATAAAAGCTCTATAAAAACTTACACCTAGGTGGAGTAAAAAGGACCAACTGAACCTTTACCCTGGCAAAGATGTAAACAATAAAAAATAGTAAACAAAAATGTAAATTAAGTTATTTAATTGAGATTTCTAAACATATGCCTATAAAATTCATATTTTCGCTAGTTGTACTATGTATCTATTATTTTGTACAATCTCTTTAAAATTAAAATAGCAAATTTTAAGATATTGAAAATGTTAGTTCTGTCAATCCTATTTTAACCCGATTATGGGTTAAAAAGGGGCAGATGACAAATTTTAGAAAAGTAGTTCAAACACAATTGTAGACATAACTGGTTATTTTACTGAACATAGTTCAATAGTTGATTGTTTGATATGTGTTATTTGTAGCTATATAATTGGTTTGGTTTTCACAATACGATTACTCAAATTCTAATTGGACATTTGTGCCCAGCCCTACCTTATATATTTTTAACAATTTTGTATGCGACGTATTATTATTTTTGCCATTATTACTATATATTGTTTCCAATATTTTAATAGAATTTTTTTCATTATTTTCTTTCTACACATTTTTTCCATTACTTTTCTAATTTTTTATTAGTATCTAAGGAATACTTTGCATCATATTTTAAATATTAGTTCTTATTGCTTCATATTTATTATCTGTTTTAACAAAACTTATAATAAAAATAAATTAAAATTTATGATTTTTCTGCGTGATAAAGGTTTTTCTAAAATTTTGCCCACACGATATTTGCCGCGAGAAGAAAGTGTTTTGTGTGTTAGCAAGAGTAATGTTTTCACAATATATTCAATTCATTTTTAATACTCACATAGTGATCATGACCAAAACTATGTCCTGCATAACCGTGGTGTCCGTATCCGTGTCCAGCATATCCCAAACCGTACCCGCTGTATCCCAAACCGTGTCCGGTGTAGGCAAGTCCATGGCTGCCATAATTCAGCCCATGTCCAGCGTAGGCTACCGCATGATTTCCGTGATAACTGACTGAGTGAGCGTAGCTATGACCCAATCCGCCGTAACCGTAGCCGTGTGCGCCATAAGAGTGATGGGGGACATGCGAGCCATGGTGGGTCACGGAATAACCGTGAGCTTGTACTCCCAAATGAGCTGGGACCAAGCTGCCGCGCGCGACGGCGATTACGGCCAAAATTGGAATGCACTAAAACATAATTACTAAACGTGAAAATTATAATAAAATTAAAAAAATAATTGGCATCGTTCACTGCCTTAAGGCAAGTTGCTGGATTGCCCCCTCCCTCTTGGTAATATTCAAATTTACCCCCCATCTCCCACCAAACATAACGTGTATTTTTAGTTACGTGATAAAACTGTATTTTTTTTTTTTTTTTGAAAATATTTGAATTAAAAAAAAAATCAGTTAAAAAATAAATACACGTAATATCGTACTATACCCCTACCTCCATCACGTGATATTTTGTGATTTTTTGTCAGGTTCCTTCTCCCCCTAAAAACCTCACGTGATTAATTACGCTCCCTAAAATAGTGTCATTTGGTTGCCATAACTAATCACTGCACTTATTATGCACATTAAAATATCAGATATTTTATAAAGATTTCAATAATAAGTACTAACTTTTTTCACATTTTCATGGGTTCCGCATGAAGATTTATACTGTTTAACAGTAACTCTGCGACGCGGCGCTTACGATATTTCGTCTCTAAAAGGCTGCACTTTGAAATTTCTTCGAGAAAGATTCAAAATTGTCAACAATAAATCAAAATCAAAACAGTTCGCTTTTCAAATGTTTTCAAAATTTTCAAAAGTGTTAATTTTTTTTTATTTTCAAAAAAATGAAATGTTTCAAATCTATTTTTTTTTCAAAAATTTCAAGAAAATTAAAGCTTCGTGAGAAATACATTTAATTTGCGGTAATTTATGTTCCAGCTATTAGCCACATTGCTAAGCACCACTTGTTTAATGCTACGTTTTTATTTGGCTTCGCTTACTCAAAGCATTTAGCCACCTACAACATTTATTTAAATTCTGTACTAAATTTTATATCATATTCAATTTATATATAGATTCTATTCTTTTTATACTATATACTTTCTTTCTTCTTCTACATAGTTTAACTTATCTTCATTCTTCTCTTATTATCTTCTTTCTTCTTTTTACTATTTCATTTTTATTTTCAATGCTAGCTCAATTTCTTTACATTCTAATAACTTATATACCTAATAATTATTTTTTTACATACATCTCACACTTGAAATTCTTATACATTCTATCGATATTTTACATTTGGAAGCGCCGGGGATCGTACCAACGATCTCCGGCTTGTAAGTCGCACATGCTACCTCTGAGCTATGTCCGCCACTATGCTACGATAACACTAGCTATAAGTGGAATTCTGTCTTAAGGCAATTAAGGCATCATGCCTTAAGGCAAATTGCTAGAACTTCCCGTACCAAAAATTATTATTTTTTTAAAAGCGATTAACATTTTTGAAAAAAATTTACTTCGAAAAAATAAGATTTTTGAGAAACTATAAATTGAACAAAAAATTACTTTTTTTAAAAAAAAAAATAAAAAATTTTTTTTTTTTTTTTTCAATTTTTTTTTTTTTGAAAAAAAGGTTTTCTTTATTTTGACATATTTTGGAAGATCTGAACTTTTTTTCAAAGCAATCGTACTGCTTTAACTGCATAGAGACAAAATACAAAGCGCGTAAGCACCGCGTCGCTGTCTAACGGATAAACATTGATACGGAACCTATAGGAATGTACACGAAATTTATACTTATTGTTAAAATCTCTATAAAATATCTGATAATTTGATGTGCATATGTCTAATGATCATTTTTGACCGCCAAATGGCATTTTTTTTACTTTTTTCGTTAGGTCTCCGAAACCGCTAGACCTACCTTTATGAAAGTTTGATCAATTCTTTATCTTCTCAATACAAGTAAAATGCTTATTTGAATTATTAAAATCGGACGCTCTGTTCTCTTAAAAACTGAGGTACCATTTTTGGCACTTTTTGCCCCATATCTTCGGAACGGCTAGACCTGCCTCTGCCAAAAATTAATCAGCACGTCTCGTTATCAATACGAATCGAATGTTTTTTGAATTATTTAAATTGATTCATCCGTGTTCCCAAAATCGTCGAATAAAATTTGTATCCGCACACACATACATACACGCACACACACACGTAAAGATATATAAAAATTTTTATTTTCGATTTTTTTGCGATTACTATAACTTACTCTACGGGACGTTAACAATGTACAATTTTTTTAAAAAACTAGCTGTAAGTGGAATTCTGTCTTAAGGCAATTAAGGCATCGTGCCATGAGGCAAATTGCTGGAACTTCCCGTACCAAAAATTATTATTTTTTTAAAAACGATTAACATTTTTGAAAAAAATTTACTTTGAAAAAATAAGATTTTTGAGAAACTATAAATTGGACAAATAATTAGTTTTTTCGAAAAAAAAATTTTATTTCATTTTTTTACTTTTTCCTCTATATCTCCGAAACCGCTGGATCTACTTTCATGAAAATTTGATCGATTCTTCATCTTGTCAAGACAAATAAAATGTTTTTTGAATTATTCAAATCGGACGCTCCGTTCTCTTAAAAACGGAGGTACCGTTTTTGGCACTTTTTGCCCCATATCTTTGGAACGGCTAGACCTTCGCCAAAAACTAATCAGCACGTCTCCTTATCAATACGAATCGAATTTTTTTTGAATTATTGAAATCGGTTGATCCGTGTTCGCAAAATCGTCGACGAAAATTTGTATCCGCACATACATACACACACGTACATACATACATACATACACACACACACACACACACACATACATACATCCATTTTTTCTAAGGTATGCCGAAATGTTCAGAAACCTCTGAAACGTAAAGATATATAAAAATTTTCATTTTCGATTTTTTTGCGATTACTATAACTTGCCCTACGGGAAGTTAATAAAGCAAGTGTTTTGAATATGTACCAGTAGCGAAATAAGTTTAAGAATCGAAGAGTTCACGCTTTGTTCAACGCTTTCAGACCCCGCGACGGAGGTCGGTTAAAACAACAAAAGTTTCGAATAATCCGCCGTGGGTGTTTGTTTTTCAATAATATATAATATTTAAATCATTTGTATAGGAACAAGCTAATCAGTCACCCAAATTCATTAGCATGCTCGTTGATAACAGAAAACTATCCAAGAAGATTGAAAAGAAAAGCGCCACTGGATTTAAGCCATTAACTCTCCTGATAAAAAATGGAAATAATTTAATCATTATTTATAAGAAATTATTTAATAAGTAAATAGTTAAAATTATATAATTATTAATAAAATATTGTGAATTTTATATCGAATGGAAAAACAACTACTGAGTTGTTTTTTCCAACATGCCTTTGTAGTATACAATGTCCCGTTTCGGCTGACTATTGTAAATTCATCAAATTTATTGAATGTCCTTTACTGGACAGTTGTGAATAAAAGAGATAATAATAATAAAAAAATCATTTGTCAAAAATAACTGACATCTTTAGATTATAGAATATTCTGCAATAATTTCTCACATTATAACAGTATACTTTTAAATCCTTGATAAATTAATATATTGAAAATAAATCATATACTCATCTCGGAAACTTCTTCAACTTGCCATAAGACAAAAATTATTTTATGCATATTTAATTATATCAATTATAGTGCCCAAATATTTGTTGCAAGTCTGAATAAATATTATTATAATTTTGTAAATAAAATAAAACATTGTATACTGCGAAATTAGTTAGCAAATTGCAACCCATTTCCCTGTAGCAGTCGTGGCCGAGTGGTTAAGGCGTCTGACTCGAAAACAGATTCCCTCTGGGAGCGTAGGTTCGGATCCTACCGGCTGCGAAAATTTTTGTATATTTTTTTGGCTTAACAATAAAAGTAAAAATATTCTTATATGTTGGCAACACTTAATAATTTATTTTAATCGTAAATTCTATTACAAAATGAGCATTAAAATAAATTGAAACCTCAATGAATAATTATTGAGGTTATAGCAGGATTCACTAGTGCGATTTATAATAAACAATCAGTAATAAAAGTGTCATACTAAATTATTGATCTATAAAAAGTAATTTAAGTACAATTTCTTTCATAATTAGAAGGTAGCAGGATTTTTTAAATTTTTAGACAGTATTACTAATTTAATCGGTAATACAATAATGTAATAAGGTAGTTGTTTCAAATAATTTATATTATTATAAATAAATTTATCACTTATTCCAGCGTTTTTCATCGTATTAATTCTGAACCTAACATTGACATCATACTTTTCCCATTTTTGGTGTCAAACAATTCAGAATTCAGAGCAAATTTTTACTTAAAGGGATGTAGCTTCTCAATGAAAAGTCTCAATGAATTGCTATACGGCTTGATGGATTTGTTGTTTATCGCTTAACAAAAGTGTTAATACTATTTTTTGGTAATAAATAAAATTTAAAAGCTACAGCTGTTTAAATGCAAAAAGTCAAGTATGCTCAATGTACCCCATAGGTGGGGCAAGTTGAGCACTAAGAAAGTATAATGAAATCATAGGTTCAATGTCAATTAGTGATAAAATAAAATAAGTTTTTAATAACCAGTTCTATATTTATAGTCTCCATTGACAGAAAAAACAAAACCTATTGCTGGAAGTTAATAGTAATTGTCTTAGTGACAGAACAAGTTTAGCAACTATTCTCAACTAACCCCAACTCAGAATTTCAAAATAAAAGTGAGTTTATAAAAAAACCGTGAGAATTATACCCAGAATCTCTGTGCACATTAAAAGTACTATAATTATATGGAAGAATAACATTTACCTGATTAAAAATAAATAACATTTGACAAAACCAGACAAAAACTTGTGATGAATTACTTTAATTACTTTTTTACTTTTTGGTCTCAAAATAAACAAAACGCCCGTGAGGCTTACTAATTTGTCCAGCGGCCACTAGCGATACCAAACCTCTATCTTTCCGCCATATAATGCCTAAACGGACGGTGAATAGTTTTCGAGATATTTCGATTGCTCAACTTGCAACTATAGATGATAGCAACTTAAACAATTGCTCTATCTCTATGTGATGAATTTTATTACTACAATTTCGTAAGTTATAGTAATCGCAAAAAATCGAATATGAAAATGTTTGCTTATCTTCACGTTTTGAAGGTTTCTGAACATTTTTTAGAAGTTTATTGTTAGAAAAAATGGATGTAAGTGTGTTTGTGTTTGTGTATGTTTAGATACAACATTTTGTCCACGATTTCGCAAAAAATCGAATA